AGCTAACCTCAACGTGATAGGCACGTTACCATAATCGTATAAAATAATTCGAAGTGGTCTGTATTCTGTCGAAACTGCCAGACGCGGATCGCGATTTCGATCTTTTTGGACCTCATCAGCGCGTCGCAGGCAGCTCCTAAAAGATCGAAATCGCGATCCGCGTCTGGCAGTTTCGATAGAATACAGACCACTTCGAATTATTTTATACGGAATAGAACTTTCAAAATACAATCATTAATAAAAGGAAATGAAGTATACAGGGTTGTAGGAAACGATCCAGGGTACAAAATGCACTAAATTTTTTTTCAAATCACAATTTTTTTAATTTTGAAGTTTTCGTTTTTATTTTACTGGAGATGTGAGAAAGACTGATAGTGTAAGATTTAGATAATTTTTACGGAAAAGATTCTATAAGAAAACGTTTTAACTTCCTCAAAGATGATGTTATCTTCAATTCCACACAGTATCTCCAAAACCAAAAGAAATATGAAAATTCTACTGGTACCACTGCGAAAACCGCAACCCTCTGTCTTTAAAAATAAGGTAGAAAGGTACTCCGTAAAAGTGCCTAAAGTGCCTAGTTATACTGATAACATGGAGCTTGATTCAGGAGTAAAAGGAGAATGGAAAGGAAAAAAAAGACCGTTGAATTTTCCACGGTCGCTTATTCGCAGAATATATGGAAATTAGGAACGGTAGCTGGTCGTTCATCTGCAAAATAAAATTTGCATGAAGGGCACGACTTTAATGAACGTGTCGGAAGGACCGTCCGTGCTTTCTTTAAGAGCAAAGGCGGCAAACATGGGTTTAATTATTAGAACCATCGCAAAAATGGAACGGAACTTCTCAAAATTAAACGCACCGAACACCGTTTCTAAAAGAACCCGCATTTCCTGTAAATTTTCAGGAAAAACTGATCGTATCTCCTAAAACTAAATAAACTCATAACGTCGTGTGATAGCACAAATCGGGACCTTATTCTTAGTCACACCGCGAGTAATTTAAAGACATTGTGAATACAGAAAAAATCGTTATTAAATTTAAAAGTGTTGGTATACATTTCGTCTTTTTTTTTTAATAACACGCCACACAAAATGTAACAACCAAATTTAGTATAAAATTACAGGTGGATGCAATAAAGAATGTTAATAAAAAATGGAGCATGTGGCCTCATTCCTCATCTATAACGCTGGGAAGTATTTATGAATTAACTGCTGACTGAACATCAACACAATATGGGAGCTGAGAACAGTCACTCAACACGATAAAAGGGAGATTTTGTAGAAAATTGTTAGAGCGATAATCAATCATTCGCAGAATTTATTTCTGTTTGTCCACGGAGAATAATAACGCTTGTTCCAATTTTAAAAAGAATATTAACTTTAAACGAGAAATTGAACCAATTATCTATAATCTACTATAGTTTTCGTCGTGGAAGGTAATTCGGGGGTAGGAATTGTAATGCATAGGAAAGCAGGACAGAGTGTAGAAAGTTATTTATTATAGTTAAATTAAACTCGAAGCCGCTAAAAACGGTATTAGTGCAAGTCTACATGCCTACATAATTTTACAGTAATGAAGATATAGAAGCGGATTATGCAGATATAGAAGACGTGTTAAGTTTAGTGAAAGGGCAGGAAACTTTAATAGTTGTAGAATATTTCAATGCAGTAATAGGTGAAGGTAAAGACGGTGCAATAGCAGGTTCTTTTGGATTAGGCAATAGAAATGATAGGTGAGGTAGACTGATAGAATTTTGCGATAAACATAAGTTAACCGTCGCAAATACTTTATTCAACCATCACGTTAGGAGGCGCTATACGTGGAAGATGTCAGGTAATTTAGGGAGATATCAGTTACATTACATACTTGTTAGGCACATATTAAAAATCAACTGAAGGAGTGTAGGAGTTATCCAGGAGCAGATTAGGTAGCGATCATAACGTGGTAGTTATGAAGACCAATCTTAAATTGAAAATTCTGAAAAAGAAGGAAAATAGGAGACGTCTTGACTTAGAAAAGCTAAAATGTAAATTATGGTCCAATGCTGATGTGACCGTCACATTGCAAAATATGCTAAAAATTACGATTTTGATTTTCGGACCTATTACAGTTATTGTTCTGTAAGACTGGAAAGCTAATATGAAATGACAATAGTTAAATTGGATGAGTGACCAGCATGATGAAAAATATCAAATCTTCGAAAAATTCATGTAGTGGTAAGAATTCTGACGAAACTCAAACCTGGACCGCGATCTCGTTAGCACGTCTTTAGACAGCGTTTTATGAATTATTACAAAGAGCATGGTAAACGCCATCTGTAGTATGAGAAACTGACCACTATATGAACTGCTTGTTTCGTTGTTTGCCTATCACGTAGGGTCAGCTCACCGACCCTTTGTTGAACATTTTTGAATTCCACTAAATGTAGCAATATACTACAGATGGCGCTTACCACGCTGTTTGTAGTAACTCAACATGAAATCTCCTTATAACTAAACGTAAAAATATCTTAGACTAAAGCTTAAGACCGTAAGACACCCAACCTTTTCAAAGGTTTTTTGAAGGTGGTATTACGGCATACTTTGACTTTAACTTTAACGTTGTTTTAAATCCTGCATTTACTAATACAATCCTTTAGAAAAAAAAGCAAAAATTCAGTAATGTTCTAAAATAAAAAATGTTTATAATTCCTTCAATATTTGTGCTTTTCGATTTTCAACTATGACGGAAATAATATTGTTTAAGTAAATTCTTAATTTAATCTATTGTCGCTGGCATTAATTAAATCTTCTTGAGGCGCTTCTGTATTATGAGGTAAAGAATCGATAAAAAATGGAATGACGAAAATCCATCATGAATTCACAATTGCGACCTCTAGCTTACAACGTTTATACTATTAAGGGAATATAACTACCTAAATCCTGAGCTGACTTTTAGTCAAGAAGGAACAAGTAATTCATAAAGACAGAACTCTGAAAACATCCCCGTGTGTACCAACGGGTTGTAAAAGTGACGCTTCTACCCAACTTTTACACTAAGTTATGAATCGACTTACCTTGAAACTCCTTTCTGGCGGCGGAAACGGAAGTGACAATGTTTGCCACGTGACCGAGTACAGTTGCGAAAAGCATAAGGCCGAACAACAACTGCAAAATCACAAACAAATACTCGCCCTTGTTACGTGGCCGAGGCAAGTCTCCGATAGTTGTTAACGCTAACGTGCACCAATAGTAGCTTTGCAAATATTGTTTAACAACGTCCGAATTTTCCGAATCACTGTACACCCAATTTTTCGAACCGAACCCGTTATTCTTGTGGATGATGTGAAAGAGGCACCCGTTCCAATGAAATATTACTAGGAGGTAGTGAATCAGGCTCGTCGACCTGAACAGGTTGGGATAATTGGTATGTCGTTCCGTCCGATCCATGAACGCCCAGAACCGGTAAATCTTCACCAATCGGAATGACCGCAGAATAGAATTGAACCCTAAAACAATTGAATAATTGAATAGGAAAACTGAAAGTAATATAATGCCCATGTAAAATCGTACCTATGGATAAATAGAGGAAATCTAAAGGTAACAGGCACAAACAGTCTATGTAGAAGGTGGTGGAGTTCATGTAGTGGTGTCGCAGTTTCGTTGCGTCCGTCTGCAGCACCCCATCCTCCAGATAACCCGTACGAAAATGGAACATAATGTCGGCCAGGTATAGGAAATCCGAAAAATAGTCTAGACAGAACCAGACTAAAATCGTATCCCCTGAGAACAATAATTAGGTTCAATGCCAGTCATGATACTTGTCCCTATAGAAATTTACAAACGTTTCTTTTCGATAATTGAGTTGTGATGAGCCAAACAAGATCAAGACTAATACTAAAACTGAGACAGCTATGGTCTCGTTTATTCGGTCTTGCTGGTGCTCAAATATCTTGTTCTTGATNTAATTCACAAACTAATGATCCGACAGCCGTCAAATTTATAGACGCGTCTTTTGAAGGTTAGGACTAACTGAAAATCATATGGATTTAGTTCTGGTGCCGCCATCTATGTGCCAGGCCGGGGACTTTTCAATTGACCCTAGTATATGTAAATAATAGGCACAACGAAATAAATTAACAATAAAAATAAAACAATTAGAGTTTGAAAATAGTGAAGAGAGGAGGTTACTAGTTCTTCCCCCTCTATCAGTCACGGTGAGCTCAAAACTGTTAGTACCATTGCTTCGAGTGGTCGAAATTAACTGTTGTGAACAGTTTGTTTAGTCACGTTCTTTGTGTTAAAAAGTGTTTGAAAAATTAAATTTAAAGGAATTGTTTGTAAATAGATACGCAACACGTCGTACACTTTAGCATAAGAAATTGCTGATACTAACTACCTAATACTACATTGCCCTGCGCTGACAGCATTCGTAATTTCTTTTATACATAATATTATATGAGAATTGGTCCGCACTACACTATATATGCATGGCTGTAACGTACTATAGCAAAAGTGTCGCTGTTTGGGACGGACGAAATCGTGCACCTTTTTCGGCTTAGCTCTCATTCGCTAAGTGTCTAAAGTGTACCGTACCATAAGGAACTTCGTTCCAGAAACTTACGTAATTAAAATTGATAATTAAGATTGTATTGGGATAAGTCATTTGTCCTAATTTACATTGTGTATTGATTACTATACAAAATTATTTGTTATTTTGATATAATTCCAGTGTTTAATTTTTCTTCTAACAAGAGTGGATCAGTATGAGCAAACTGTTACAATTTTCTGTCGCTTGTTGGTATATCAAGTTTTGATTAACAATAAATTGTTATTAGTATGATTTTGTCACCTTGTAGACTTTAAGTATTAGTAAACATTATATTCCCGTTTCATCAGTTTCAACTCGACCCTTTTGTTGAAAATCCGTCAATCAAAAATTAAAATTACGTTGGTTTAGTGTTTAAACGACATTTTGAACGGGAATGTGGCTTGGAACGTTGGTCAGGGTGGTATTTAATGGAAAACCTGTCAGAACGAAGACATCTCCCATTAACTGTAGTGGTTTTGTCGGATAACCGGGTACCTGGCAACACGAACCATCCGGGGCATTTCTAATCTATAGTGCATTATATACTCTAAAAATTACAAAAATAATTATTGATCTGTATAAGTGAATGTAACGACTTGAAATTTGAAATTCGCGATATTTACAAATTCAAATGCTCTTTCCACTGCTAGGGGTCGCGCTCAAGGTGAACTTGATTACCCCTTTGAAAACATAACAAGTTTGCCTAAAAATTTTTCTGGAATAATGAAATTCAAGCAAGCTACTTTAGATTAGTTAGAATACTTTAGACTTTGGTTATTCTTAATGCTTCATAAATACACATTACAAAATTAAGACATAATCTATCTTAAGCATACCATGTTATGAAGACCAATCTTAAATTGAAAGTTCTGAAAAAGAGGGAAGGTAGGGGACGTCTTAAAGAAAAGCTAAAATGTAACAAAACGCGTGATAGGTGAAGTACGAGGATAGACGAAACAGTAGGAGGCGGGAAAAACGAATGGTAGGGTCATACAGACAGAATGGAACTGCATTAAAATGTGACTAAAGAATGTAGGATAACAAACGATATTGTAGGACTAATAGAAGAAAGGCGGAAAGGACAGACGAAGAAGGGCAAAAAAGATATAAGACTATAAAGTGGAGAATAATTAGGAAGTGTAGGGCAGCAAAGGAACAGTGGTTTGATATAAGGTGTAAAAAAGTAGAAGGAAGATTTGAAGTAGATAAAACAGATGAGGCTCATAATATAATTAAAAAGAATTTTAGAGAAGTAGGGTACAGTAGTAATAACATAAGAAACGAGGCAGGGGTCATTTTGATA